CTCATGGTCACACAGGCTGGTGTGCTCCTTCCATGTGGGCTTTGGTGCTTCTGAGCTACAGAAGCTAGAGAAGCGAAGAAGCAATTCACTTTAGTTAGTTGTAGCTTGACATATCAGACAAGGGTCTACTATCTCACATGTAGTAGCAACATCAACACCTCAGCAAGAAGAACACCTAGTTCGAGGAACACAGTTTAATGCATAAGACGTGTGCATATGAAGAGACCAATCCTCACCTCCACACTCCCAGCTCACCTCACAGGGCTCCGGCTGCCGGAGCTGTATGAGCTGAGAAGCAGACCTACTGATTCATCATAGCTGCCTGGTCTTAGGGACCCCTTGAGACATCCACATGATCTCTCTATAAGTCCAAGTTCCCGTTCGTTAAGGACATCTCTAAAATTTGAGTGAGCACATTTGCAGTTTCATTTTAAATGTGCCTCATAAGCACCAGTGGTTATTACGGTGGCAACTGAGGAAGCTGAGAAGGCTGAGCAGCTTCTCGGGAGATCTTAAAAACAGGTCACTTCTCTAAGGATGGAAATGGTTCAGTTGATGAAGGGAAGAATAAAATAACTCCCTGGGATCTCTTTCACCTCTAATATTCTAAAACCCTGGTTTTTTGGTAACTTTCAACATGATCCTTCAATGCACACAAAAATGGCCTCTTAATCTCTTGACTCACTAGCCAATAAGTCACTGGCGACAGTGCCATGTCGTAATTAAGAACCTAGACAGGCTGGAAAGCCTTGTGCACGGATAGGACATTAGTGCTGTTGAAATCACTTTCCCTGCGCATTGTCCAGATTAAGTGCTGCTTTTGTCAAGTGTTAGATAGTTTAATGCAGTGGTCCTCAACCTTCCTAATGCCGTGACCCTTTCATACAGTTCCTCATGTGGTACTGACCCCCCAACCATAAAACTATTTTCATTGCTACTTCATCATTGTCATTTTGCTAGTTATGAATTAGGCGACCCCTGTGGAAGGATTGTTCAACCCCACAAAGGGGTTGCCACCCACTGGTTGAGAACCGCTGGTTTAATGTCTGGCTTTTATGTCTCACCATCTCATGGCATGAGGAGTGCTGAATGTTCTACATGTTGGACTTCTAGATGCTGGAATCCAGTGACCTGCCACAAGTAGTTACTTCTGGGAAGCTCTGGAGCCAGCACACAGCAAGGACAACACACAAAGCAAAGGTAAACCAAGCAGCAACCAGGGAGAGTGGGGGGACAAGGGGAGGGAGGCTGCATGGGGTGCCGGGAGTGAGGAGGGGCGGCGACTTCGGACAGAAGATGAACTGTGACATTTTGGGAGCGAGAACTTTTCAAAGCTACCCAGCCTCTCCTCTGCCAGGCAACTCTTCTTTCTCTCACATTAACTTCGAGCTCTTCCCCGCCTCAGGAGGAAACAGGGAGGTGTCAATGAATGAGGGGAATCAGGAGGAAACAGGGAGGTGTCGATGAATGAGGGGAATCGTGCTTGGAAGTTGGTGATTCTGGAAGTTTTCAAATTTGTGGGAAATGCGGCA